CTTCAATGATGCTATCTAACCATCTCATCCTCTGCCGTCCCCTTCTCCTTTTGCCTTCCATCTTTCCCAGCATCAGGGTCATCTCCAAAGAGTCCTCTCTTTGCATTAGGTGGCCAAAGTATCCTAGCTCACTAACCTAAGAATAAGTCTAAATATAATAGGATTTATTTCTCAGTAATACATAGGATAGATACAAATGCACCAATTATTTTAAACATTTTTCATTTTAAACTTCCCATTTAAAAAAAGTGAAATTTGTTTACTATAGATCTTTACAGATGCTGATAGAAAAAAGCAGTATTTCCCAACCTGTTGTCCAGATGTATGAGACCACCATGCTGGTTAGGAATTAGAGAATTGTAATTTCAACACACCTGGTCAGAAAAGAGATGGATTTTTACTGGATTTAAAAAATGGCCCTTTCGCTGCTTTATATTTGGAGTAGAAGAGACCCCTTGCATCCAATTATTTGCTGCCTGAAGCAAGCAGACAACTTTCATGATGTCCCCTACCAAGCCAAATTCCACACTGAGAACATTGCCCTCATTATAACTGTCATTGCCACTTTAACTAAATAAACAATCGTGTTACTCTATGGGGAAGAAAATCCAAATTCATGCCACAAAAAAGTGCATGCTTTAACATTCTCAGAACTTTTCATCGGGCAAAGCAGTACAGAAATAAAGTACATTCCAGAAAATTCAAAAACCACACGTTCTTTTGTTACACTTTGGTTGTTCATAAAAATGATCTTACTCAGCTCTGTATTCTGAATCTTTATCATACATATGAGTATCATACTGAGAGAGTTGGCATGTGATACTTAAAATATGCAAAACGTTCTATGATAACATTACACACACACACACACACACACACACACACACATATATTCTAGTAAAATAAAACATACCGTATAACATCATCTAATCTAAAGACAAGATAGCCAGCATGATATGGTATTTGAGGTCTTGGACCAAGTCAAAGAAGACCCAGGTTTAAATTCCCACTCAGCTACACAAGAAGCTTTGTAACATCATGTCATTCCCTAGCCGTTCTCATAAATATGCTATCATGGTTTGCTTTATGATAATTTGTTAAGAAAACTACAATCAGCTGAGTTAATCGTTCATCAAAACTAAATAAAATAGGTTAGCTTATTGTGTGTACCCAACCGTTACCTTTCAGACTGACCCAGCAGTCAATACCCAATCCAGACTGCAAACATCTGGATGACTATTAGATGGCAGAAAACTAACTTTTTGTTGTTGTCTGGATTTTTGATCCCAGATCTGGTTGTCCTAATTTAGGTTAAAATTATTATAATCTCTTACTGTCTATTACAGTGTTGTCCAAACTTGGCCACTTTAAGATGAGCGGACTTCAACTCCCAGAATT